GCTTTCTTACCGGAGAAAAGAAAATGTACTTCTTCAAAATTACACACTGGCTATGTCTCTCCACAGGGACACAAGATGTCTTTCGAATCTTGTACAAGACAAAGTGATCAGAATCACAAGTCTTTGGACATGATTTTTAACATTTTATTTACAACTTCTTGATGAGCAACATTAAAGCTGATACACCAATCACTAATCTGGTAACGAACATAAACAACCTTCATGCTAAGACACAGAAAAGATGTGTCCCCTGAGACCTTCAAGACATCTTGCAATATTTGAACACAACTTGCAACATGAAAACACCTCTATATTACCATTTATTCCCTCTTGCTTCTGTCAAATTAACAGTTACACGCCCTAAAACAGATCCTTCATTACCAGTTGACAGGGACTGCAGTGAGAGTCTGTCCCTTTTGATCAAGATCAGAATAAAAATCTTACCTGTAAGTCTGTAGATAAGAAAATCAGGATCAGAATGAGTAACTGACAATCATTAATAAAATAATAAATAGGCTAACCAAGCTAACAGAAAAAAGATTATGAGGGAGAGAAGGAGGAAACATATCTCAGTGACAGTTCTTCACATAAATAGCAGCTGGTCTGACTGAGATCCTCTGGAATGCTCTCTGCTATGTGTAAGGCAAATTATCCTTACATCTCCCTTCAGTCCTCTTCACGTCAGAAAACTAAATAATTGTGTAAGCCTCATGTTTCTGAAACCTTATTAGATGAGTTTTGGTCCATAAATCCTATGTAGCCTGTATGAACTCCGTGTACAAGAAAGTTTTAGCTGTCCTGATAAAACCAGCACTAGAGGGGAATGGAGTCTACATGCTGCTATAAAATATATGTTCATTTTCTTCATGAAAAACAGACAGTCACAACTATCTGCTCTTTGTACCATAGCTTCTCTGATGAATTTGCATGACAAACACTACCAAGATGAATTTCAATATTACATTGATTGCTTCATTTAGAAGGATCCTGAACTGGCTCTTCACCTGGTGCAAGTGACAGTACCATCTGACCCATGGATAACAAGCCCTAGAACATAATGCACCAACCTCCACAACAAAATAAACAAACAGTGTATGTGTACATATAAACTTTACAAAACTAACTTTTTCATGTACTTTTTTAAATGAGCTGCATTTTCAGAGACCTTCCAGCTGAAAACCCTAACAATGAGAAAGCACTTCTAATAATTTTATATGTATCTATAACAAAGGATGACATTCAATATTAGACACATTCCTTGCTGCTATTTTATTCATTTTTTTCCTCTTGAAAATAACCATACTAGGTTACAGGGAAAAAGAGATTTAGGGTAAAAAATGTAATCTATGGCTCTGCTGCCCAGAAGTTCCAAATTCTGACCATGTGACTCTTTTTTATTAAATGTTCTTTCATTCTTCTTTTAAAAGATTTTAACTATTTTTATTATTCTAACTTGATTAGAATGTGTTGCCTGAAAATCCTGATTTGTATGTCAAATTGAACTGTCAGAGACAGTGTATAGCTGGTGTGTGATCACTTTAATCAAGGAGGTGTCTATTGCATTTCGAAAGCAAAGATTTATTTCTGAAAAATCTGAAGCACTGGTATTTTTCATTAGCATTATGTGACACCTGTACTGGTATTCACAAGATGATCATTCTGAATTCATCAAGTAAACTAGTCTTTTTGCTGTGTCCATTCTTGCCGTACAAACACTGATGTGCCTGTTAGCTGAACTTACTTTTTAGAGAAATGGTATTGTCCAAGGAACGTAACATCTTTACTAATATGGATTAGTAGAGATGTTACGTGAATAACAGTATTATACACATAATCAGAATAACTGGTGAAATGAATAACCAGTGACAACTGATTATACTCAGTACAGGAAACATGGATTGTATTTCATTTGCCCAGACTCCTTGCAGCAGCACAGTGCAGCCGCTCCTTCAGAGTTACCCAGCTGTGGCTGTTACCTGGTCAGATGCTGCTTGTTTTGTGTCAGTATTAACCACAGTGCTGGTATTCCACTTATTTTCTAATGTACTTTTTTGGTGTACGCCATATGCCAATTAACATCTCATAAACTACCTTATTATCATCAATCTGTATTCACCATTTTGGCTTAACTTTTTAATATTATACACTCCCAGTAAAGAGGGTTTGGAGTCAGCAGAGCTGCTCTGCTGGGATCGCACCTGATACACCCCACAGAATGGTGCTTCTCCGAGAAAAAAGGGAGACTACCTTAGCTACCATGACAACCATTGTGGTGTTAGACAATGAACTTCCTACTCGTCTCAGTTTTAAAGAAGTACCCCTCTACCCTGTCTACTGTAACTTTTAAATTGGTTGTTATAATAATCTTCAGAAGGTCTATAGCCAGAAATACAGGGACACTGTCTCCCACAGTGTACTCCTGAAAAAGCTGGCAGCCCACAGCTTGGACAGGGGAACTCTCTGCTGGGTTAAGAGCTGGCTGGAGGGCTGAGACCAGAGAGTGGTGGTGAATGGTGCTGCACCCAGTTGGTGGCCGGTCACTAGTGGTGTCCCCCAGGGATCAGTGTTGGGGCCAGTCTTGTTTAATATCTTTATCAGTGATCTGGATGAGGGGATTGAGTCCACCATTGATCTGATAGAAGGCAGGATGGCTCTTCAGAGGGACCTGGACAAGTTGGAGAGATGGTCTGATTCCAATGGGATGAGGTTCAACAAGGCCAAGTGCCGGGTCCTGCACTTTGGCCACAACAACCCCCTGCAGTGCTACAGGCTGGGCACAGAGTGGCTGGAGAGCAGCCAGGCAGAAAGGGACCTGGGAGTTTGGATTGACAGGAAGTTGAACGTGAGCCAGCAGTGTGCCCAGGTGGCCAAGAAGGCCAATTGCATCCTGGCCTGGATCAGGAACAGTGTGGCCAGCAGGACCAGGGAAGTGATTCTTCCCCTGTACTCAGCGCTGGTGAGGCCACACCTGGAGTCCTGTGTCCAGTGCTGAGCCCCTCAGGTCAGGAAGGATATTGAGGTGCTGGAGCAGGTCCAGAGAAGAGCAACAAGGCTGGTGAAGGGACTTGAGCACAAGTCTTATGAGGAGAGGCTGAGGGAGCTGGGCTTGTTCAGCCTGGAGAAGGGAAGGTTAAGGGGAGACCTCATCACTCTCTGCAACTCCCTGAAAGGAGGTTGTAGACAGCTGGGGGTTGGACTCTTCTCCCAGGCAACCAGCAGTAGGACAAGAGGGCACAGTCTTAAGCTGTGTCAGGGAAGGTTTAGGTTGGATATTAGGAAGAAGTATTTACAGAGAGAATAATCAGACATTGGAATGGGCTGCCCCGGGGAGGTGGTGGGTTCACTGTCCCTGGAGGTTTTTAAGATGAGACTGGATGTGGCACTTAGTGCCATGGTCTAGTAACCACGGCAGCAGTGGATCAAGGGTTGGATCCCAGATGATCTCGGAGGTCTTTTCCAACCCAGTTGATTCTATGATTCTATGCCTAAGAATAATCTTGAAACCAAGACTTCTTTCTTTGCATATTAAACTTTTTGAATGTACATAAGAAGTAAGCAATACCACCGAAGACTATCCTTTAAAAGACTAAGACTTGCCCTGCTACTAATGAATAAACACAGACACAATCTCTGAGAAGATGGTTACATATAGGATAACCAGACCAGAAAGAAGGGCTTCTATATAGGTATTTGTAAGGAGTCTGCTCTGGAATATCAAGATGGGACTTCAAAATACAGTCAGCCCTCTTCCCAATTTTGCTGGATATCCAGCTTTTAACAACCACTTGTTCAGTGCTTTAGCCATTTGGATCTCATTTTGACATGTTGGATAGTCCTCACACAATGATTACTATAATTGTGTACCTAACTGGGCTTTGGGTTTGTTTGTCAGGAACAAAATCCAAACTATGGATCTCAATATAGCTCATAAATATTTAAGCATTTTATTTGGTCTGTTCCTAATTTAGAGACATCTGGCTTAAAGGGAGATGATTCTACTTCTGCTATAATGCTATCGGCTTCCTCAGAAAGCAGCTGTTCCATTTTATTCCAGTCATCTTCAAATTTTTCTTATATAGCTGTATAATTCCTACATCCTTTTGTCATCTCATATCAGATGGTGAAAGAAGAAACAGCTGTGATAGTTGTGTGCCTTTGCACTTAGTAGCTACTCCAGATACATGAAGGAAACACTCTCTTTAACATGCAAAGGGAAAGGTAATACAAATTACTCATGCTGCTGAGACTGCAAGAACTCTTAGCAACTAGTACAGTGGAGAGAGGTAGTGAAAAGGGTTGGACAAATTAAACATCCTGTGGGAAAATCTGAATTCCTGTTCTGTTCCAATTATTCTGAATGAAACCTAAAAGATAAGAAAAATGAAATCTTAAACTCCTCATTTGAGACAGACTTATCTAGTATGGCAAAAGTTTACCTGGTGTCTTGCAAGCATTGGTGTAGAACACCTGTCATACACCCGAGGGGTCGCTCCTCAGTTCTTTAAATAACGGGCATATAGGATCAAGACAGTGTTCAACCCATGGATCCCAAAATGATGAATGAGTCAGGAGGACTTGTTATACTCCAGTACAAAAGCTCCAGGCTCTTACCAGTTGTAGACTTTAATTTTAGACTTCAAGAGATTTCGCCCACATGAATGCTTGCAAAGTCTTTGATTCTTTGATACCTTGAGTTCATGTCTGGAGAAGAACTACACATTTTTCAATAAGAGATTTCTTTTAATTGGGTGAGAAAATAGAGGTTTTGGCAAAAAGGGTTCTACAGAAATAACATGCAACTTCCTAAAAGCATTATGACAGATTACTGAGACTAGCAAGCATTGTTACAGTAAGGGAACCTTTGTTACACTCAGCAAACACAAAGTCCATACAATTTAAGTGAAATACAGAACAGTAGGTGTTTAACTCACCCACAGGAGTCAAGAGAGATCAAGAGAAGAAAGAACAAAAAGACAAAGAGAGGAGAGAGACATATTTACCACTCTGGAGGTCACATGCTGAGAAGTCAGGAAGGCAGAGGCCAAGGGAAGATGGAGGCCATGTGTGTGCCTGTTTATAGACTTTGGCCAGTCCCCCTAGATTGGGACCTTTTGTTCACTGCCACTCACTGTCCCTCTAGTCAAAGTGAGGGGTGCCACAGCCACTTGGAGGCTCCAGGGGGTGTGGTGTGGGTGGGCCACCACATGGCCTTTTTGACAGCCCAGCCACATGGCTTTCCCTGCCACGTGCTCTACGTGGGCACAGCCATGTTGGCTCCATGCCTAGGCCTAGCCCTTCCCCTTCCTCACTCCTCTCAGACAATATGGTTTATTCAACCCATCAATCAAACAATTCGGTGAGATATGAATCTGGTCTCTGACAGGACTGGGCTTTCAGATTTTTATTGGCATCATATCCCTGTTTTATGCAGCTTTCTTTCCTCCAACTGTTGGTGACTCCACATCTCACCTGCTTTAATTTTAAAACTATGTTCCCTTTCCGCTGCCTGTGTGATTCAGCTATCTAAATCTAGGTCACAAGAGTGCTTTAATTTTATGTTTTAGAGGCTGCTCTTCCCTGTTGTATCTTCTTCTCCACTAGATTTTGCTCTTATTTATGCATTTCAACCAGATAAACCAGCGCTAGTCAGTCATAGGATGTTATTCTTTTTTGCTGAGCACCTTTATTAGCACTGAATCTCAGACTCTGACTTTGTCCTTAGAGCCCAATTATTAGGAAAACCTTGAGAGGCTTTCATAGCTAACATATGCCTTTATTTCATATAACTTTTGCTATGAGAAAGCCTGACCCCATCCTTGAAATCTTACTACAATTCATTGCTGCATTTCCATCGTCTGCTTTAACTGTCTCCCTGAATACTTTCATATGTGAAGTCCTCTTGTCTCAACAGTTGCTCATCATCTCTTCAAATCTTCCCAGTAAGTACATGGCAAGTCAGGTGTATTTTTTATCTCGAAGCTGCACCTTATCAATCACTTTCCTTAGCCTTTGTGGTATTTTTAAATTCAATTAAAACTTTTTCTCCTTCTCTGAAGGATCCGCAGTAGACTCTCTGACCTCTCTTCTACACTCTCCTCCACGCTTATTCTACACCTCTGATCTTTCTCTCCCCTCCATCTTTTCTATTTGCACCATACTGTATATCCTGAAGATTTTTCCCCTTATCTGAACCTCTGCTTTATATAAGAAACCTGCTTTACAATTTAGCCTTTGACACTGAAACACATTTTACTCTCCCTTTTGTTTCTCATCATGCAAGTCCCCTCTCACTAGCTCGTTCCTGAAAGTTTCCACCATTAACTCAGAAGCTGTTAAATTCTGTCCTACTATTCTGCTCCTTGCTGTATCCCTATACCCAGAACATTTCTGCTGGCATAAGACTCCTATGCAGCACATTAATGTATGTGGCTGTACACATACAACACAAGGGCATGATGTAAGATATGTCAATAACAAAACACACACTTTCTTCTTATTGCTCAGATAATTTTGTCTGATTTTCAATTCCTCGTTAGCCAGAGTGAAAAATCATAGCATAGGATAGTAAATACTCTCACTATGGCTACCAAAATGATGTGAATAAATCATCGTGCTAGAACAGGTGACATTCACATAGCAAACCTGTATTAATTCTACATACTTCCTCAGACCAAAAAAAAAAAAAAAAAAAGCCACATTGTTTTCAGACCTGGGAAATTAATTTCCCTATTTCTCTGTAGTAGCCCTTCAATTTTACAGAAATGCAAGCTCTGTTTACTTAATTAGACACTACACGGTGTACCAGTATTATTGTAAAACTCACTAGAGAGCCAACACAAAAGTCCTTTGGGTCCAATGGTCATTTCTTAATCCATTTGCCCCTTTAGTGAGAGTTTGGGACAGGCAGTGAACATAAACTGGGGTCTTCTACAGCACAGTGATTTTGTATCTTAAAAATTTGACAGTGACTCTCAAACAAAACCAGGTGAGTTCTTGTGCATGCACATTCCACTGTAACTGGCATGCCTGCTTCACTATTGAATTTCAGAGTTTTCATTGCCACATAGGACTATTTCTGTTATTAAAGTATGTATTTTTATGATTTAGAATACAAAATAAGAATAATTTATATACCTATTGACTTCTGTGCAGACACAATTAGAATAAAAAGCGGAAAAAATATCCAAGGAAACTGCGTTGTAAAATAATCCTGCTGGTAAAAGTATTCCAGTTTTAAACTCTGTGTTTTAAAAGGACAAACAGATTTTAGTAGCATTTTTTAAAATACAATTGTTTATCCTGTGGGAAAGTTTTTTTTTGTTGTTGTTTCTTTGATTTTAAGGATAAAATAGGAGTGATGAGAAATAATTAGTGACCAATAGCTCTGATTTTGTGAAATTATTACCTGATTGCATTTCTCTCTCTGGTGTTGATTTATTAATGTGTCACAGAGGTACAAAATGCTCCAGCTCAGACAAACACTGGACTCAGTTAAACCACGTACAATTGAACTAACTGCGACTAACTAGTGAGGTCTGGAGATGCTTTCCAGAAAAGTCTATTCAGATCTGTTGCAAAGCCTGTATAGCTATAGACTACAAAAATCAGTATCACCTTCCTTGCCAGCAAGATGCCATGTGTGCAGACACTGGCAGACCAGCTCTTGCTGACTCGGCTGGTTCAAGAGAAAGCTGGTGGGCTGAGCTGCTTGCTCCCCTCCTCTGCCAGAGGCAACACAGCTCATAGCAAGAGCAGCAGAAGAGTGCACGTGCAGTCTGTCAAATTAGTACACAACAGTCTGTGACCCCTTTTTCTCTACAATCCGTTAGCAGCTGGTTCTTTCCATTTTTTCTTGACTCAGAAGATGGTAATTAGCTGCAATGTCAAGCACTGCAACAGCCCACCCAGGGAAGTGGTTGAGTCACCATCCCTGGAGGTATTTAGATGTGTAGACTGTGGTGTGTAGGGACACAGTTTAGTGGTGGACCTAGCAGTGTTAGGTTGGACTTGATCTTTATGGACTTTATGGTTGGACTAGATCTTAAAGGTCTTTTCCAGTCTAAATGATTTCATGATGTGCTGCAGCTTCTAAGGTTTGACAAGGTGTGGAAGAGGAGTTTGCAGCAAGAGCTGCTGCCTCCTCAAGTTTGCTATAGCCCACAGCCATCTCCATTTTAATTTTCCTACAAATTTGCTGCATCACTACCATCTCCACTACCTTAAAAATCATCCCTTCTCCATTTTTAAACCACAACTTCCACAGAGTCATTAATGGTAACAGAGAAACAGAAAAGGAAATATGTACTGATACACGGCACTAAGTCACAGACAAAACATAGACTTAGTTAAATGTTTACATTTAAAATTTGCAAATACAGTTGCTAGAAAACTAAGACTATTGAACTAGGTCTTCAATAATTATGAATTCTGAAAGAGTTCTACTAAAAGTTTTGAAACAAAGACATAATGCTTATTTGCTTTCCTTTATAAGGCTGATCATATTTTACCTTAAATCAAAAAGGCAAAATTATACAGTTTCCTGTGATAAGGCAGAAAGGGTAAATGAAATTAAATTAATAAATGGGCTTCCCTATTAAAAATTTCATAATTATGTGAATTCCATTTAATTAACTTAGTGGAAATCATGAAGAACATGGATTTTTTCAATTATAGCATATGATATAGATATACACTCTTGGAATGTAACACAGGCAAAAATATATAAGAGTAACGCTGAGATCTGGCACTGTATGGAAAGGTTTGAGGGTTGGGCTTGTTTGCTTTCCCCCTTCCTGTAGTATTCAACCTACTTACTCAACAGCAAGACAGTTTTCCAGGTGACAAGAGTTCTAGGTACCACTTCCTATAAGATCACATATTGCTGTATCATTAGTTGTGAATTAATTTCTGAAGCTTATGAGGAGCTTATTTGTCAGATATGAGTCTGTCCAATTCTGTACTCCTGGGTTACTGTGGTTTATGACATCAGTCACAAAATCCATGTGACTCTTGTAGGGAACATGAATAACAATATTTTTGTTTTGCAATATTTCCTAATGTGCACATTTACATGAAGTGTAATTCACGGGGTTTGTTCTTTTTTGTCTTTTATTTCAATGCCTTCACAAACAGAATGGTTTCCCTGTAAAATGTTAACACCAGTTTGGCAACCATTCTAAAGTACTTCATGCGTAACAATGTTCAGAACACTTAGAAAAGCCTATTTGTTCTACTACAAAACCTTTTTACTGCAGAAAGAAGGGGAAATTGGTTAAGCTTTTCTGATTTCTGCCATTGAACTTGCTGCTATCAAAGTCTGCTAAATAAAATATGCCACTGTTTCTACACAAATGAGTTTTGCTCCAATAATCACAATGTATCCCAGGTGGAACATGTTGGAAATGTTTGAAATGAAAAGTTACCCAAACCTTTTGAAAATTACTGTTTTCTTCAGGTTTACTGCATAAAAGATTAAGAAGTAAGATGATACTGATGGGTGTATTTTTTTTATTTTTCTAAGACTAGAAGGAAAAATGTTTTTGAGAGAAGAAACCTTTTTCTTACTTCAGACTGAATTTTCTGAACCTATTTCATTATTGTCATGAAAAAAACAGAAGCCCACAACTTACTTAGTGCAGAATCTGGTTCCCAGCAATGACCAGAGGAGAGACTTAGAAATGAACACATGGGTTGGTTACTACTTCTGCAATAATAATCATTAAAACTTACATTTAGATTCTATTTTTAAATTCAGATGTTAGTTTTGGGACCTGAAGAAAAAAATCAAGTTATCTTTGTTATGTGAGTTAACCATATAAAGTTATTTCAAACCAAGTCTAGTAGGAGCAAATTTATGCAATTTAAATACAGTTTAGACCATATAATCTATTGCAAGCTTTTGAAGCAATAGTGAATGTTTATGTAAAATTTATTCCAAATCCCTCAACTACCACACTATTAGAGAAACTAAATGCCTTACAATGTCTCCAGGACACTTTTAATTATTTCCTCCAAGTAAATAACTATACTTATCCTTACAGAATACCCTGTACCAGAACATTGCTAATTTTAATTTTAGTTGTATGCTCTCCTGTAACAAGTTTACAGTCCACCAGATGTAACACCTATAAAAAGTCTCAGTACTTGAAATTCAGGTATTTTTTTTCATAAAAAGCATGATTGAAATATTAACAAGGAAATACCAGGGGTTAAAAAGAATATATAATTGATATAAGAATAAAGAATCAAAGCACACATTAAAATAAAATT